TGCTCAGCTTTGCTCGGTTTTCACATCAACTCTGTTGCATGACCCAGCCCCATTTCTGATGTTACAAACACTGTGGTGACATTATGTGATGGGCACACCATTTGGTGTAATCAGTGACCACAAGTCCAGCAAGCACCTGAACACACAAGTGACACTCCCAAACCACCAAGCTTGCTGGTTGAGCCTACTTCAATAGTTTAACATGACAGTGACATACTATTCAGGCAGCAAGAGCCCTGTCACTGATGGCCTGTCCCACTCACATATCTTGCAGCTCAACAAGCAGCCCATCAAATGACCCATGAATAAATTGCTCTGTGTGCCCAAAATAATACCTGCATCTGTACCTGTAACAGTAGATGCCTAACAGTCACTGGCACCAACAAACAAAAATTAGCTGCCACTGCCACCACTGCAACTGACAAATATCAACCAACTGCCACATCTTCTAGTGTCAGAATGTACTGACAATCCTGATAATGACATTGAAAACCCAATCATTGTACTTGACAACCTGAACTTGTGCACACTGACTGTTCCAACGACTCCAACCACTGATGAGAACACATTGTAGGTCCACCTTCTGCATAACAATGCAATGATGTCATGCAAGGTACACCCAGAGGATGCTTGGTTTTGATGTGTTCTGCCTGAAAAATTGTGCTTGAGCCCAAAATATGCCTGACGATCATGTTGAACATTGCCACCATACTACCAACTGGGACATACCTGCACATTGCCCAACACATTAGCCTAGTATCCAAGGGTGTCACCATCCTTGGAGGCATCATCGACAGTGGCTACCATGGTAATACCTCAACATATCTATTTAACACAGGTGTTGATTGTTTTTGCCATGAACAACCACATAGCACAGCTGATTCCGACCAAGACTTTACTGCCATGCCTGGAACAGGTCGATTCTCTTAATATGGTGTCTTGTGTCATGCTCTATAAAAATATGGGTCTAAATCGATATATTCAAGTCTTAAAAATTACTTACTAAAGTGAAAAAGGGGGCAGCACTGTGTGGGCAATGCTGTAAACATCATGGTGTTCCTTGATGTCAGCCAGCAATAGCAGAAATGTGTATAGTGGCCATGAAGGCGATCTTGATTCTTGAAAAGGGAAGATAATGGCTTGGAATGTGTGTTGGGCGCCACATCTTGTGGAGCCAACAGGTTCAAATCTTCAGGGATGGGGGAGAGAGTCGAACTACACATAACAGCCATCACAGTGATGGTATTGAAGACAAGCATGAACCCCAAAGACTTTATCTACAAGGGTGATAACAAGTTAGAACACATGATGGAGATAATTTATAGTGGTAAATAACTGACATCCAAAGCCACACACAAGGTTGTTGACAAGTTTCACATACAAGGTGGTATCTTGTTCAAGAGAGGATGCTGCTGCACCAGGACAAAATAAGACCAATCTTTGCTGCTGACTGAGTTCCATAATGCTGTGATGCATCCAGGGATCTGACCAGCATATGACAAGCTGGGTGAGCTGTTCTACTGGCCTGGCATATACCAGGAGTGCAAGAATTATGTTACAACATGAATTATGTGCCAGTGCATCAAAAAGCAGCAACAGGCCAAGTGACGGACTGCTACAGCCACTACAGATCCCATGACACTGTGAGAAACGAGCAAAGCTGAGCAAAGAGAAGGTTTGCAAGTTATATTTAAAAGGAAGAAAAAGATAAAGTTCTGAGCTAAAGAAAGAATGTGAAGAGACTGAGGAAAGCTGTCTCTTATATAGGAGACAGCGAGTGAAGATAAGAAAGGTAAATAAAAGAGAAGGATACTTTAGAAACTTCTGGTCTTGCAATCATCTTACAGTATACAAGACGGAGTTCCACCAGAACGGAATTCCAACAGACACAACTTGTCAATCATGGGAATGGATTTCATTGTCAGCCTACCTAAGATCAAGGATGGATATGATGTGATCATGTTCATGGTATACCACCTATCCAAGATGGGGCACTTTGTGACAACACACAACACTGCGACTGTCCAAAAGGCTGCTGACCTGTACTTCAAGACTGTCTACTGTCTGCATGACCTGCCCAAGTCCATTGTATCTGACTATAACCCCAAATTCTGATTATCCTTCTGGAGCTCATTGTGGAAACAAACTGGAACACAGCTCATGTCTGCCACTGGGCATGCACAAACCGACAGACAGACTGGGTGTATAAAACAGACACTTGAGACAATGCTGCATGTGACATGCATCAGCAAACAGAACAACTGGAATAAGCACATGCCGCTTATCATTTTAGCCTATGATAGCTGCAGCAACAGGTCGGCTGAATAAATAAAAATTGAATCTTGTTTTGGAATAAATTAAATGTAAAATTAGAAAACGCTAAACATATATCAAACAACACACCTTGTGCGGACCAATTATGGATCTATGAGCCTGGATGAGTTATTTAAAAAACTATCTCACCCCAGCAATGCAAATGGCTGATCTGGTGCTGCCTTGCAGTTGCTCCTTTCCTGTCTGCTTGCCCTGCCTCTAACAATAAAGTTGAACTACCAGAAGTTGGCAAGATTGAAGGTAGCCACTGGTAATTACCCTTAATTATTGAGCCACAGTAGCAAACACCACTGGTCTAAAGTCTAGGAGGTCATCTCCCCACTGCTGCACTATGGGGGGCATAGCTGCTGTCTTTGCATCTCTACTGTGACCTTTTGTCTGTGACTGTCACATCTGCTTGTGACATCAATTATTGCGATGTCACGTGACAATCGCAATTTCTATTTTCACGGGCGATAGTTTCGAATAGATAAGCGGAGCTCTTTAAGCTCCCTTATAGTGGATTTTTAATAAAATTAGTTAGTACGAATAAGTTTTATTACACCGCTGATGTCTCCTCTTGCATGTAATCTCTGACTGTTCTTCTCAGAGGATCTGTTGGTCATTGTGCTTGTTGTGTTATAAATATATGTATTGAATAAATGAACTAAAAGAAAGCTAAGGGATGAACAGCCTCCACTGTTCATATTGATTGGTATTTATGCGTGCGTATGAATTCCCGCATATCCAAGTAGGGAATTAACTAGCGATTGATTCATTAATCAATCGCCGGAGACAAGCCGCAATTTCTTGTATCACAGTGCTCCTTTCAGCAGTTATATATAAACTCAGCCCTCTCTGTGGTCTGTCTCTGGGTGCTAGTCTCAATTGACATTGGCCTTGGCAACTCCGTGTATCTGAACTGGTCACTGTGATGAAGCTTAATATCCTCGACCATGGCCTCCTTAATGTTCAGTGCCCACTCCTCCATAATCAGAATAGACATTTTCAGTTTGAATGCATGGGCACACACGACCCTCTGTGAGTTGGTTCCCCATCTGCAACAACAGCCCAATGCAACATAGATCGTTTTATGCGAAGTATAGCTTCTAGCCACTAAACACCACTTATAATTCCAAAACTGGGATGTCTCACGTGACAGCGTAGTCACATGCAATTTGATTGTTGTGATATTGCATGTGGGCAGCGATTTCAATTGAGCTTTACTATTTATACTAGGAATAATGAAATTGATACTACAAACAGAGTTAGATGAGTCCTCTCATCCACTTTGTCTATTATTATTTTTTACTATTAATTTTTTAGTGTATAATCTTCTTTTTTCTTTGCTTTGCCATTTCATCAGCTGTTACTTACGCATGATTATTGTTTATTAATTTATCATGATACATCATTAAAAATTTTTGCATATATGACAAAGGCAGCACACATACAATTGGCTTATTATATAAAGACATTTAGTTTGCTTTCCATAACCCATTGTGTAAAGAACACTAAAATAATAAAAGAATGGATAGGAAAAAGCAAATGTGACGATGCTGATTTGTATTGTGTGAGATATACATTAAAGATGCCGAAAAGGCACCTGTTTGTTAGCATTTGTGTTCAGTTTTAACTTTTTCAGCACCCTTTCTATATTATAGCATAATAATTTGTTCATCACAAATATCTATCATTATGCCCCATATCGCTGAAAATTTTGTCTACAATGAATCAATCTGGTAGAAAATATAGGTATAATAGAAGGTAGTGTAATTAATTCAAGTAATCTGATGAATGAACTAAAAACTTGTAATAAATATTTTATTTTTCAAGGCGTCTGTAAACCCTGCAATTTACAAATGGAAAAATACGAGCTGCAGCATGTGATAGGTTTTGTCCACGGTGAATTTGAAGATAATAGGTGACACCTCAGTATTTACCCCCATTCAAAAAATAGTTGAAAACTATCAGTGGGAGCAAATATATGGCAATCCTAATAATTCATTATGAACTAATTATACAGAGTAAACCTTTAATGTATAAGTTTTAATTGGAAGATGTTGATTACGTTAATCCACCAGCTACTGGTTCACACAGAAATATCAACTATACATTTATTTATTGTACAGCGAAGTACAGCAAGTGACCAAAATGGCCTCGGTACCAACTAATAATCGCCAGTGTATTATTGCATAACACCCAGTAATATGCAAATGTTTTTTAAAATGCGGTATAATTTTGTAATCTACTTTGGCTTTATACTTGTGTAGCTTATTATGAATAAATATGAATTACAACTGGTCCCTTCATTTTAAGCTCATGAATGTGTCTTTATTAAGTATCGCTCATCCAGGCGAGCAGCACCCTGTTCAAAGACACTGAATACAAGCTTGGAAAGCCCAAGGATGGCGAGTAATTTCGTCGGCAGGGCAACTAAGCTCTTTCTTTTGATGTGGCGATCGACATTGTTTTACCCTGTACTCTATTCTTTATTCTTTCTTTAGTGTCTAGTTGATTCCGTCTGTTTTTTTCCTTTATGCTGTCGGCATTCTTGTTTCCCTTCACTTTTTCATTAGTTGCTTCTGCTGCCGCCGTTATTTGCTGTTCCCCGTTCCACACATGTTCTGAAATTGCTGATAATAAATATTATTCTTGTCAATATAAATGAAATATAAATACGACGATTAGGGAGCGAGCTTGCGCAGCGAGTTGTAGTGCTCGCCAAGACCATATGCATGGCGGTGGTAAGATAACTTGATAGGGTCCTTGTCAGAGTAGACCTCATCGCCTATCCGCAGGACGGGCATACCGGTCTGATAAACGAGGACGGGTGTCTGCAGGGCATGGGAAAGTGCTGTGATTTCTTGGTGGCCGCCCCAGTCGGCAGTTGAAACTATGCGGTCGCAGTGAGTGTCAAAGTCAGCATTGCTGAACATGTCGCCATTTTCGTGTGCCATGAAGGGAATAAAATCGTCTTGGTGCTGGCGCATGTAGTCTGCAGCGCGCTTGCGCATGTCCTGGTAGGCAGCCGCGCCGCCATGATATGTGTTGATTTGGTCGGCAAAGGCCGAGTAGAGGCAGTGGCCGTCAGCATTAATCTCATGAACAGCGAGCCCGTCGGCCGCAACAAGCCTGTTGATGGTCTCGGACTCGATGGCAGCGACATCAACCATGCCCTCGGCCTCAGTGGCGGCCTCGTCTTGCAGACGTCTCATTTCCTCGGCTTTGCGTTGCTGGCGCAGCTTGGCCTTGTTCTTTTTGGTTCCCGAAATGGTTGGCTGGGTGCCCATGCTGGCTCCATAGAGGCCCTTTGGCGGGGCGACCTTCTGTTGCTGCTGGTGCTGCTCTTGATCGTGGGTATCTTTGGGTGGCTGGGAGTCTGCAATAGCCACAGTGGCAACAGCGTCAGAAAGCGCATGTGCGTCATCTGCAGCTTTGGTGGGTGCATCAACAAAGCTTTTGACTTCTGAAGCGTGTCTGCTGCTGAGCTGGTCTTCCAATTCAGCGATTTTGGTAGTGACATCCTTTTTCTTGCGTTTGTCGCCCTTTGGCGCGGTTTTCTTCATGGCAGTGATTGTCGCGGCAAGGTCCCTCTTTTCACGGCGGTGGCGGGCTTCGAGGTCTTCGACTGTGGCATCAAGAGGATTGGCTGACATTGCTAACACATAAACAAAAAATATTAAATGGACATTCAGTGAGCCAAGTGAAAGAAAACGAAGTAATAATAAAAACTTGATGACAATGACTGCTATAAATTTTTTTGCTATGCAAAAAAAGGCCAGGGCATTTCACAAGCGTGATTTGTTGCTGGTAAAGCACAGCCTTTTGCATTAATATTAATTTTTCCTTCTTTTCGTTCGCTCGTTGCTGTTTATTTTATATTAATTTAACCTGTTTTATTTCTACATTTATTATATATTGCCCTTTTTCACCTCTTTGCATCACTGGGGCTTTTTTCAAAATGGACCAGCCTCGCTCGACATCGGAATTAGCTCGGGAGGATGCAGCAGCCTCCAGCAATATCAACTCGCCTAGTGGTGTGGAGACGGGGCCGGGCATCGTTGCGGCGGAAGGCGCCGGCGAGATTAATACAGGTGTCAGCGCCGGGACAGCGGCTGAATTTGTATTGAGTGGCCACAGCATAGACAGCAGCATCCTGCACACAGATCTCGATCTGGACTTCAACGTAGACTCGCTGAACCTGGACAACTTGAGTGGGCTAGACTTTGATGTGTCCAACCTGCTCAGCCAGGTGAGTGGATCGGCCATGAGTGCAGTTGTCGAACCATCCAGCATGGTCCTGGCAAGCGACACGAGCGTGAGGGCCGAAGGTGCAAAAGCGCCAAAACTAAGCACCCAGCCAGAGACAGGGACACTGCACATGACAGTGTCCACTGATGTGGCAAAATCGCCACTACCCACGTCGACAGCGTCCATGCCAGCAGCAGCAGCAACACCGACGACGCTTGTCTCTGCAACACAGCCACATACGCAGCCAAAGGCGCTGGCAGCAGCGGCCGAGCGGCCTCCACCGGCGGCAGCGCAAAAACCGATTTCGCCGTCGCAGGCAGCGGCAGCCATGGCAGCGCGGCTGGCGGGTGGCGCAATAAGGCCAGTAAGGCCGGCTGGAACCGTTTCAGCAGGAACAGCACTGCGACCGCGGCCGGGTCCTCAGGCGCGACCAGTAGCCGGGGGCAGCCCAACTGCGGCGCGGCCTGCGAGTCTGGCATCACCGGGTGCTGGTAGGCCGCCGCCGGCGATGCGGCCGGGTTATCCCGGCTTGGCCAGGCCTCGGCCGGTGGCCGGCCCAACGAACCCCGCGAGCCCTGTGCGGCCTGGGATGCGGCCACCCATGCGGCCCCGGCCGACAATGCGCCCGCTCGTGTCCCCTGCAGCTGCTCGGCCGGCGATGCGGCCAACAGCGCGGCCGGTCATGCGGCCGGCGTCTGCATTGTGTGCCGGGCCAGCGAGCGCGACGACGACGAAGCCAGGGCAGCTGCAGGCAACCTCGCCTGCTTTGGCAAGGCCGGTGGCGCCAGAATCCGGAACAGCCGCAGCCGCAGCCGCAGCCACGGGCCAAGAGCCCATCACCATTGGCTCTGACGGCGACGTCGACGGCGACGCGCGGCTCTTGACCGAATCGGTGCTTGTGTCGGCGCCGGCGGCCATCGCCTCGGCGCGCGGGCTGGAGGCGCTGTACACGGCAGAGGGCGTGTTCCGCACGCTGTGCCATGGGTTCGCACCGACGCACGCCGAGTGGTCGGCACAGAACGTCGTGGCCGTCACGTGGCCACAGCTGGAGGCTGAGGCCGGCGGCGGGCGGCGGGCGCAGCGCAGGCCTGGTGACGCGTCGCGCGAGGCTTCGGCGGCAATCCACCTGTTCCGACTGCATGTGCGGCCGGCGCCGGCGTGGGACGCGAGCGCGCGGCTGCAGCCGATGGCGCCGGCGCTGCTGCCGCTGTGCGACGTGCGCATGCGGCAGGAGTGCGAGGCGGCCACGCCCAGAACGTTTCAGCTGCCGCCTGCCGCGCTGAGCGTTGCGCCGCTGTCCGGGTGGCACGGCGGCGCTAGCCAAGCCGGGAGGGGCCAGCGCATGCCCGTGGCCTCGGCACCGCGGTGCGCGTGGAGTGGCGATGGCAGCGTGCTGGCTGCGTGGGACCGCGGCGGGCGCTTCGAGCTGTTCCAGGCCGGCGCCGAGCTCAACGCGTGGCGGCCGGCATACCGCGTCGACTTTGGATGCCCGGTGGTCGCGTGCCTTTGGCTGGCCAGCGGCCGCAAGTTTGGGATTGGCCGCGCTGAGGGCGACGCCGAGGGCGGGTCCGGCTCCGGCTCCGGCTCCGGCTCTGGCGAGCGGCCGTCGCGCTGGCACGTGGACACGGCGATCGGCATCTCGCGGCTGGCGTTCTTTGGGCCGCGCAACACACACGGCAAGCAGGCGCTGGTGGTGGCGACGGCCGACGGACAGCTGGTGCTCGTCTACCAGCGCGACGACGCGTGGGCGCGCGTGGTGTCGCCACTGTCGCCGCGGCGGCGCGACGCATCGGTGGACGACGACCCGTGGAGCAACATCCCAACGGGCGCCATCACGCACGCAGACATGATGCTGGTGTCCAAGAAGTGGATCTACCTGGCCGCGCACCGTGCTGGCGCCAGAACCGTGGCGCACCCGCACGAGAGCGGTGCCATTGCCGACGAGCTGAAGCGCAGCGGCGCCATGACTGCGCCGACCGTCGAGGTTTACCGCGTCCAAGTCGAGTTTGCGTCGGACTACCATCCGCGGCTGTTCGCGACGCCACTGGTAGTGCAGCCGATCACGTTAACAGCAGCCGAGGCGCCGGTGGCAGAGGCGATGGCGGAGACGGAGGCCGGCGCTGAGGACCTGCGCGTGCCGCGCGTCATGCACGTCAAGCTGATCACAGCGCTCAACCCCGAGGCGCTGCCGGCCGACAAGAACGTGCTGGGCGAAAACCACTTTTTCCCGTTGCTGTTCGTGTCACTGGGACGCGTCGGCAACCCACAACCGCAGTCTGCCGACCCACAACCGCAGCCCGCCGGGCCTCAGCCGCAATCCACTTCCAACGCCGACTCACTCCCCACCTTCGACACGTTTGTTCAGGTGTGGCGCCTTGAGGCCGCGGCGCACGCGCAGCGCTCGGTAGCTGACCTGCTGCGTCGGCCGCCGCCGCTCAAGCTGTCGCACATGTGGACCGAGCAGCGGCGCGGCACGCTGCTGGCGGTCAACGCCAACCGCGCCGAGCGCCAGCAGCTGCGGCGACTGTTTGCCAGGCCCAGCGACACCGAATACCGCGCCCTGATGCTGACGTGGGCCGACGGCCGCGTCGAGATGCTTCGCAACTACCAGGACCGCGCCGACCGCTTTGACCAATGCGTGCCGCCGGTGCAGGCGCAGACGCACACGCACATGCGCGTCATCGGCAGCGCGCTGAGCCCGCACTACACGGCATACTTCCAGCTGGTGATGGCTGAGCGCACGGTCAACATTGGCGCCGGCGCCGGCACTAACAACGGCCCCGTCACGTGCGTGTGGGCGCAGGGCCACGCGCGCTTCCGGCTGGGCTGGACGCCGTTCTTCGGCGATGCGCCGGTTCAGGCGTACTGCGGTGACCTGCTGGCCGTGCGCATTCTCAACCAGGAGGACCCGACTGACCTGGTTGCGCTGCTGGCCAACATTGCGCGGCACGAGGAGAACCAGCCGCTGCCGCAGCCGCCGCCCAACTCCACCACTGAAAACACTGCCCTGCCAGTGCCGGCATCGCGCACGCTGGCTCAGGCGCTGCTCCGCGCGTGCACGCTGCTGGGCGCGGCGCTGCGAATCACGTCGTTGGAGCTGGACCCGCTGGCCGCGTCGACGCCGGTGGTGCGGCGGCTGCTGGGCGCCATAATGCAGACGCACTTCTTGGCGCAGCACAGCATCCAGGCCACATCGGTCGGGCTGCTGCTGCACATCGCCGCAGCCGTCGAGGCGCGCGTGTCGATCGTGCACGAGCAGGTGCTGCAAAGCGCTGCGTCCGGCTTGGCGCACCAGCAGCTGGAGTTCTCGGCTGCATGGCGCCGCTCGTTCCCGGCCACGGCCGCGCTGGTGCTGTGGTGCATCGACCTGTTCGTGGCGCTGGTGCGCGACACGTACCTGTACCTGCACGCGCGCTGCCCCGACGGCGCCGGCGCCATGCAGCGGCTGTGTGACCTGGACGCCGGAGTTGACGATAACACGGACGATAGCACCGACGCCGGGGTTGTCGCCGGCAGCCTGCCCAGCCGTCTGGCGCTGCTGTTCCACCTGCCGACGCTGGATGCGATGCGTCGGCTGATGGCGTTCGTGGCGCAGGTCGAGGGCGACCTGCTGCGGCGCATCCAGATTCTCAACAGTCTGCCACCCAACGCCGCGGTCGTCGCCGACCTCGCGCCGATGGTACAGGCGCGCGACATGGTCGTGACGACGGCGCAGCAGCTGGCGCACGCGCTGGAGGCGCTGCCCGTCAGCATGCAGCGCATGAAGGACTTTCTGGCGGCCGTGCACGATGAGTACGCCGCCGACCCCGAGTGCACGGCGCTGGGCGCACAGGCCGTGCTGGTCGCGTCGGCCGCCCTCGCCGCGCCGTTTCGCAAGCACCTGCCGGGCGTTGCACGCAGCTTTCAGCGCTTCATTCTTGAGCGCGACGCGACCGCACCTGACACGCCGGCCAATCGCCCGGCCGCGCCCAGCGCGCTGGTGCTGCACGACACGCGCTGGCTGTCGGTCGTCGCGTGCCGCGCGGCCGCGCCCGGGCTGCCTGATGCAGCGACGGTCTTTGAGACCCCGTGGCGCGTGCGGCTACCGGTGTCCGTCGCCGATGCGCGGCTGATTGTCGCCGGCGCCGACGCCGACGCACTGGTGCCGGCCGCCGAGCTGGTCGCGTGGGCGCGCGAGAAGAGTGAGTTTGAGCGCGCGCTGGACGAGGACAACGTTCTGTTTGACATCGACGACCCCGGCTTTATTTTCTTCGACACGTCCGATGCCGCACAGCCGCTGCACCCGCCGCCCGAGTCGGTGCCGCCTGCCTTTGCCGCTGCCGCCGCGCACGCCGCTGCCCAGGCGCCTGTCAGGATCACCACGCGTGTCCCGGATTTCTCCGATGTGTTGGCGCCGCTAGCCGCCGCCGCTGCCGCGCGGTCATTGGCCGCTGACATTGACGGCCTGTTTGACATGCCGGCGTTGCTTGACTCGACGTTTGCTGCCGCCGCTGCCACTGCCACTGCCGCTGATAGCTCCTCGTCCGCTCGGATGCGCGCGCGCTCGAGCTCGAGCTCAGCCACCACGCACTCGCCGTGCGCGACACCCCACACGACAGCCTCTTTTGCTTGGCCGCCGCCTGGCGCCGCTCCCGGCTTTGCGTTGGCATCGGCGTCAGGGTCGGCATCCGCTCAGCACTTTGTGCCGCACTACTCTAGCGTCGCGTCGGCCTGGGCCGCCACCGCCGGCGCCGGTGCCAGTGAGGAGCTGTCGTCGGGCTGGCAGTTCATCAGCACGCCGCGCGACCCCAAGCTGCACATCCCCACGCTTCTTGGTCAGCACGCCTACTCGCTGGCCGTCCTGCATCAGAAACGCACGCGCGCACCCGCGGCAGTGGGCGGCGGCGGCGGCGGCGGCGGCAAAAGTGGCGACGACGACGACAACGACGATAACGACGATAACGACGATAACGACGATGACACCGACGACAGCGGTATCGACATCAACGGCGACGGGATGTCCTACTGCATTGACTGGTCGCGGGCTGACGGCGTGGTCATCGACCCACTTGCTGCACCTGCGCATTCTGGCTCAGCTTTGGGAGCTGCAGGCGATGCCGAGTCTGGGGCCAGGTCCCGCAACTTTATGAACCATGCCTCGCTACTCAGCGCCATGGATCGCATCGACGTCGTTCAGAAGACAATGCTTCCTGTGGACGCTTCCTCCAAGATGTGCCTGCGCTGCGGCCATGTCACCCGCAAGCAGCAGCAGACAACAAGCGGAGCGGCTACCAACACCAGCGACTCTGCTAGCTCTGCATCTGCAGCCAGCAACGATATTGGCTGGATCGACCGCTTCCGCTTGCTGTGCGTTTGTGGTGGCTCGTGGATCGCAATATAATGATGTACATCAAGTACGGGCCGCGGTTGCAAAGTGTGCCCGTTAGTTGGTTAGTTCGTTGCTTTTTTGGATTTGGGGTTGAAATATTATATTAAAATTGCAAGGCAAGCTGGCAGCCCTTTGAGGAAATAAAGCTAAAGTGTAAATAAAAGTGTATATGCTAGGAGCGGGCGGGGCGAGAAACCCCAAGCTCTGAAAAGGACCAAGGTTCAGACCCACTCCCCACCAGCATTGCTACTTGAAGCCGCGCGATGTGCGCTGCGGCGGCCCTGCTGCCGACTTTGCCGCAAACAGCGACACAGAATCGGCGGCCGGCGCGTGGTGGTCCTCCATCGACCGCCGCGGCGACAGCAGCACACTGTGCGGCCGCTGCGAGATGCGCCTAGGTGCAGCTGCTGACCCCGCCCCGCTGCCGCTGCCTATCGCCACAGAAGACGTGCCAGCAGACAGCGCCCCGCTGGCTGTTGCCGGTAGCAGCCCAAAGTACTCGTGGTGATGCCCCGAGCCGCGCCGCACAAGCACCGGCGTGCTCACTGTGCTGCTGACGCCCGAGCTGACCGACTGCGAGCGCCGTGGCCGCGCCGTGTGGTCGGACAACACGGGCCGAATGCTGATTGGCACTGGGTCGTCCATATAGAGGTCGTCAACGCCCATACCCAGCCGTTGCCGCAGCGACACGAGCTCCTTCTTGTAGATTTGGCTCTGGTTGTAGCACGACACGAGCTCGCGCTCTGTGTCGGCCAGCCGCAGCCGCAGCGAGTTGACATCTGCCTTGAGCGTCTCTGTAATGCCCACCGAGCTGACGCTGGTCGCGCCGAACGACGACACCGACGACGACCGCGAGTGCGACGTGGCCCAGCGAGGCGATATGGCGCCAGCGCCGATCCCGATCCGACACCGCTGCAGGCACCAATGCTGCAGGGCTCAGCGTGCCGCTCATCCGCCTGTTCTGGTTGAACACGCGCTCCTGCTCCTGCTCGATTGCGCTTTCCAGGGTCATCTTCTCGCGCGTCATCAGCTCCAAACGCTGCTGCAGCTCGACAATTGTCATCTCGCTGCTGCTACTGCTGCTGTTGCAGCTAGCACCCGTGTGGACATTGAGCTGGTGGATCGTCGCCGCTGATGCTGATGCTGATGCTGATCCTGATCTGCTGCCAGCGGCGCAAACTTTGTCAAATGCTGGCTGCGCGACTTTGACCGCCCCCGGCCTTCGATGATTGTGCTGCCCTGGACTGTAGGCTTTGTGATGGGAATCGTTGATACTTGCACAAAGTCATTGTCGGCGCTGCTGGTGCGTCGCATCCGGCTGCCTGTTGTCGTGTTCTCGTCAAACCTATCACCCGCGCCACTCTAGGGACAAAATAAAAATGGCATTCAGTTCAGTTTGGTGTAGAGTGTCTGGGACTAGGGAATCATTCAGCAATGTTTTTTCTTCCTTTTTGCGCGACTGGAAAAAAGCGAGTGCTCGGGCCAGATGTAGTAGGAGTGGGAGTAAAAGTAATCGTGCATTTTTATTATATTACCTTTGTCGTCGTCCTGGGAAACGCTGATTGTGGTGACGACAAGCTCTGCGCAGAGTCGGAGCCGAAAGTCGGTTGAGTCGGAGCTGGGCTGCTTCTATCGGACATGCCTGTGCTCACGCGCGCGCGTCTGGTTTAAGTGTAAAATATAAAGGCTGCTGTTAATCCTGCCCTGTTTTTGGCTGGAAGAGCAGTTGAATAATTCCAATTCGCTGTCGATTAGAAGGAACGAAGGAAATACAAACTCCGACTGGCAATTCTGCGCTACTCTGCTCTAGGATGCTGTGATCTGTGATGATTCTGTGAAAGCCGGTGTGCGTGTGCTTTGTATGTGTCGTGTTGAATTCAGTTCCAGTTTGGGCTATTTGTCATTCGAAAATATATAAATGTATAATAAAAATAAAAATAAACATTGACAAGACGAAAAAGTCGTAAATAAAATAAATCAACATTTGCTCCTGATCATTTTTTATTTTCCTTTTCGCCCAATGCATTATTGTCAGATATAAGCGTAAACATAAAAATAAATAAATAAGCGCGCGCAATCACACAAAGAAAAATCTTCGTGCTACGATGACGACGTCACTGATTGACATCGCTTGCTATTGAATGTTGTTTCTGGGCTTATTGTGTGGGCTATTAGTGGCACAATATTTATTTGTTTATACTAACTTTAATAAAAATTGCTTTCCTCAAGGAGCACGCGACTGTTTCTGCCGCTGTTATTGTTACTGTTGTTGCTGATTCTGATTATTCTGTTTAGGGATTGCCAGACATTTTAGAACATATGCGGAATGGGAAACAGCAAATAAGTGGCAGCATAAAGGAAAAAAACAGATGGAAGCAACTAGACACTAAAGAAAGAATAAATAATAGAGCACAGGGTAAAACAATGTCGAGCACCACATCAAAAAGAAAGAGCTTAGTTGCCCTGCCGACGAAATTACTCGCCATCCTTGGGCTTGAACTCGTCGGCGCTCTTCTTGAGGAATGCTTGACCGACATTGGCTCTTCGCCCAGTAGCTTCTTCAGGTCGTCGGTGCGCTTGTCAATAATTCCTTTGACACAGCCCTGAGCATGTGGCACATGAATTCGATCTCGTTCTTGCTGATCTCGCCGCGCTTCTTGAGGTACTCGTACACCTCCTCATGTTTGACTTGCTTGTACTCGATCTTCTTGTCGACAGCGCTGCTCATCTGGTGGGAAATGTCCTTGAAGCTAAGCTTCTCGGGGCCAGTCAGCTCGTAGGTGCCCGGCTTGTGCTTGGGGTCGAGCAACATGTTGCACAAGCCGCGCGCTCCGTCCATCATAGCCATGGGCGCGAACTTGGCATGGGGATCCACCGACAGGCAGATTTTCTTCTCAGAAGCAATCTGGTGGCGGAACAGCCACATCATGTCAATGTGCAGCGAGCAGCGCACGAGCGACGCCGCATCCATACTGTCCTTGATGCGGTCAAACGCCTCCTCCATCTCACAAAGCGGTGCCAGGAAATCCATGTCGCGCATATCCTTGGCGTTGATCTTGGAGCACAGCACCAGGCCCTTGACGCCGGCCTCCTTGGCCGCAAGCACGTATGCCACGCTGGACGCACCCCAACGGTGCTCATTGACGGGCGGCACAACAATGACGACGTCAGCCTTGCGGTACACCTCGACGATCTTGTTGGCATCGTCGACGCACAGCTGGATGACCTCGGCACCGTCCTTCTTGAGCAACTTGATAAACTTATTTTCCTCATAGTAGCCGACACACACGTGCTTGAAGTGCTTGTGGTTCTCCTTAAGCATCTCGCGCGCTATCACATACCCGCTGTACATATCACCGCCAGTCACCATGACGGACTTGTAGTCGGAGGCTCAAAGATGTTGGCAAAGGTCTGCATTGCTTGTTGATTCTGGCTAAGAGTGTTTTGAATTGTGTTTTGAATGGTTATCAAAAGTGAGTGTGTGTCCAGAATAATTTTATACCATGAGCAGGCGTGTGGCTTTTATACGTGTGGCCAGCATGCACATATACATATACAGTTGCGCCAGAATAAGTTTTATTCCGCGTGGCTCGCATAGATGAAATATTTATATCGCACAGATGGTATGTGCACAGATGATATATCCATGCCACACCCAGTTGTAACTTGCTGCATCTGTTTTAATTGCAGTTAGGTTATCAGCAGCAGCATGATTTAGTTGGACAAAATAACTTTTCGGTTTTAGGTTAAGGGTTAGCCGTTGTCAGCAAGCGAGCACGCAAGTTTGTTTATTTTCTTATTTTATTGATAGCAAGGGCCAGAATTGGGACGGTGGATAGTTTTTGCCATCGCTATCATCTCAAATAGGATTGCTTACAGTGTATTCTCTCATCATTTTGCTTTTTTCGCACTACCTAATGTTATTGTAAAAAATAAATAATAGCAAAAAATGGCATCGCAAAACACACGTATCAAGGTCGGGGTCGTGGGCTTTGGCATGTCGGCCCGCGTCTTCCACTGCCCGCTGATCGCCTCAAACTCCAACTACGAGCTGGTCGCGGTGGTCGAGCGCCATGCGGCCCAGAGCAAGAGGCTGTACCCGCAGGTGCAGGTGGTTAGCAACATCGACGAATTGCTGGCCATACCGGACATTAGTCTGGTTATCATTACCACACCTAACGACACGCACGTCTCTTACGTCAAGCAGACCTTGCTCGCCGGGAAGAACTGCGTGGTTGAAAAGCCATTCACCGTCACTGAGGCAGAGGCCCGCGATCTGGCCTGCATCTCGAAAGAGACTGGAAACGTGCTGAGCGTGTTCCAAAACAGGCGCTGGGATGGCGACTACTTGACGGTCAAGCGGCTGATGGCCAACAATGCGCTGGGTGAGGTTGTTGAGATAGAGAGCCGCTTTGACCGCTTCCGCGCCTTTAAAAAGCAGAACGCCTGGCGCGAAGTGGCCGACTTCCCGGGAAGCGGCATTCTGTATGACCTGGGGGCACACTTGTTTGACCAGATTGTCGATCTGGTCGGCGTGCCCGAGTTTATAACAGGATGGTGCGCAATGAGCGCAAGATCGAGGGCGCACCCGACGACTCGTTCTTGGTTGTTCTTGACTACCCGTCAAAAAACTTCAAGGCCCTGTGCCGCGCAGGGATGCTAGTGCGTGACAAGCCCCCGCGCTTCACAGTGCTGGGAATGCGCGGAACTTTTACCAAATACGGTCTGGATGTTCAGGAAGATCAGCTCAGGAGGGCGTCACACCAGCCAATTCAGAGTACGGCAAAGACAAGAAGGAGCAGTTTGGAACTATCGATTCCGAGATCTACCCCGAGCTGCACGTGCGCGGCACAGTGACACCGACGACGGCAACTACGCGGCATACTACAACAACGTGGCTGCTGCCATCCGTGGCGAGGCCGGGCTCATTGTCACGCCCGAACAGGCTGCCAACGTCATCCGTATCATCGAGCTGGCCAAGCAGAGCAGTGCTGAGCGCAAGTCACTTCCATTCTAAAGCCGTTCTCAGCGTTGCACGCTCTGAACAAAACAATGCACGTGTACCCGCCCATTAATGCGGTTGTCGGCCGTACATAAGGCGAGTAGGATCTCTCACCCAGAATTACATATTTTTTCCCACTAATTTTTGTCCTACTTTTGGTCATGGTTATATATATTTCATAATATAGTCTATTAAGCTTTTATCCGCAGGCCGCTCATTTAATGCAATCGATGGCAAAGGCAGCAGCAACGAAACTGGCGACTACAATGGCCAAAACCCCACTCGACACACTCGTCCAAGCTCGCTATGCCGACGCCATTGCCCAAGGTGCTCTTTTGTTCACAGAGTCCACAGTTAGCCTGCAAACAGAGCAGGATGTTAATTTCGAAGTGCGGTACGTACCGGCGCTGGCCAAGAAGCCCAGCAGTAAGCCAGGGAAAAGCTTATGTCGAGTGACTTTGTCAACCCGTTTTTGCCGTTCGATCAGAGGCTGCATGTCAAGGGCCTGTGTGGCTCGCACCAGCTGCTGCTGAACAAGTACTGCGTGGTCCCATACCACCTTCTAATCACGACCGCCGAGTTCAGGCAGCAAGGCGAGCCACTGACAGAGTCCGACTTTGCTGCAGTGCTGGCCACTACCAGCAGCCTATCGCGGCCGCAGATAGTATTTTACAATTCGGGCGAGGAGTCTGGCGCCAGCCAGCCGCACAAGCATATGCAATTACTGCCAATGCCCGAATATCTTGACGCGCCTCCGACAGTGAGCATGTGGATGCGGTCTACACCCGAGCTGGGCCATACACACGTGTCCCGCGATCTCCCGTTTGCACACTTTGGCGTCCGCCTTGACTCGAGTTGCGCCTCGCCGTCTGGGCTGGCTGCTGCGTACTCCGCGGCGCTCAAGGAGTTGATGAGTGCTTACAGCGAAAGCGCGTCATACAATATGATACTGACATCCACCGCGCTCATGCTGTTTCCCCGGCGCTGCAACAGCTGGAAGGGCATATCAATTAACTCGCTTGGGTTTGCCGGGCTAGTTTTATGCAAAACAACCGCAGAATTGGACCTTGTCAAGCAGCTGGGCGTTTTGAACCTCTTGGCCAACGTCGGACACCCTGCACTCCCAAATGCAAGCAGTGCCACTCAAACCTTTGCCTGAATGTAATGTTTTTGAAGCTTTTATTGCGATTGAATGTTTTAAAAGATAAACAACTATTAAATGTTTAGCAACAGCAGCAATATTTAAAACTCGCGACTAGAAAAACCTCGGGCGAGTGAAACTGCTAATCAGAGCCCGCTGCTGAGCGTCCCGGCTCGCAAAGAAGCTCGAGTCCAGATTGAGGATCATGCCTTGGTTGTTGATTGGGATAAGCACGTTGTCGTTACCGGCCATTGTCGGGCCATTGTTGTTGGAAGCCGTATTAAATTCGGTTGACAAACTCGTTGCCCGAAATTTCGGTGTTGTCGCTGAGCTGAGTCACCGAGTTACCAACTGCGTTGGGAATGTATGCGCCATCCAAAGAAACGCCGGATTCCGCAGTGCCCTCCCGAAGAGCGCCGCTGTTGAAGGTCGTGTCACTGACTGCAGCCGGCGCGTTAACATTGCCAGCATCGACAGAGGCCTGCCGCTTGAACCAAAGACCCGGATGGGCACCGGCTGAAACAGCGGAGAAGACCTCGTTGTCATTGCCAACAACCGCTCTGCCCACGTGCCAGTTACCATGTTGACTTCGGGGTTGGAAAAAACATTGTCGTAAAGGTTGAAGTTTTCGTTGTGGTTTACGAATTTGTTATTCTCGGGTTCACAATGACGGCACCATTAAACGACGTGCTTGAATCAAGAGACGAGTCCTTCAGCTCGCCGTTGTTGACGAGGGGGGTGTTAATTGCCGTGGGCCCATTGACCATGTCGCTCCCAGAGTCAGGCTGGCCGACAATTGTCTGTCTGACAGCGAGTGGAGCTGCAGACACAACGGCAGCGGTAAAGAAAACGGCGAGAGAAGCAGTACGCATAGTGAAAATGATTGACGGAGGAGGTGCTGACTAAAGGGTGCTTGGTTAACAAAGGAAAATGAGATGTGTGAAGAAAAGGTGTATGGCGGTTATAGTTGCGAATATGTATGAATATAAAAAGAAGCGAGGCTCTATAAGGAACTCGAGGCAAAATTCAAAGAGCGAGCTTTCTAGTTTATAAACGTAAAAATGACAGCGCAAACATTTGTATGTTGAATGTTCACACTTTTCTAGTTTAAACGGACGCTAAATAATTCGCTGCTCCCAATTGTGTCGCCAGCGTTGCATGTTCAAGCAGGTGTGGGCAGGTCATCCCGTTTGTTCTTGTCATTAGTATGCCCATTCAATTTGAAATGCAAAACATAAGCCCAAGCCAGCCATATTTTATAACCAAGACAATACATAAATACAAGTGGTTGTTATAATGTGAAATATCTCGAATAATGGCAGCTAAATATTTTATTTATTAAAGAGATCCCTAAAACCCGACATTTTAGCATTGTCGACATTGCCCTCATTTTTTGGCCATGGCAGCTGCTATACGCAACAACATTATTATCAATGAAAGATTGTTGATGATTTTGAATTTGAATTTTAATACGCTTCCTATATTTTATTTATGTATATGTTTTTTGTTGGCCTAAAAGTTAACACCACAAGAGTAAACTAACGCTCCAAAAACGCACAACGCCGCCTAAATAATCCCTGTGTATCATATTAAAACTGAAAATGCGCAATCTAAAGAAGCGCCAAACAATGGCAGTCCCCCAAGCACAATGCCATCAGCCCAAATGGGGCTTTGTTGTTTTCAAATCATAACAATCTATAAGATATACGCAGACACTGCAACTCCACCACAATCATGTCAAACAATAGCACGCGCAATACGCCACAACTACAGTGGCACTCGTTAAATTTTTTTGAAAATGACATAGTGCAGCTAGTCACCAGCACCAAAAAACATCACGTTGAATCACGCGCATTCCACGCAAAGCTGTCATGTTATTAGCCCGCATTCACTTGTGTAAAGCTCATTTACAAGTTAAACTTTTTGGATATATATTTATTTAGTTATAACAACGGGCCCATCATGGAAACGATGGGATCCATTAGCTCAAACTGTTAGAAACCAGTTCTAAAGTAGTAACATAAACAATTTACTTAGGGCCCTGGCCAAGATCGTTGGTCAGCCTGTTGATGGTGACGCCGAGGCCGCCTGTGGTATCAGAGAGCGCATTCAAAAGACCGCTGAGGACGCCTTCATCCGGAGCAAACCTGGCGGGAGCAGCAGAGACGGCAGCGCAAAAAGAGCGACAAGGAAGATGACACGCATGGTTGATTGGGCAGTGAATTTACTGGACGAAAGAGTTGTCGATAAAAAAGAATGGCGGTTGTTGAGAGTAAATGTGTAGATAACTGTGATTGTATAAGGTCTCAAAAAGTTTTGTTTGACAGGCGCATGATGTCCAATTTATTGGAATTCAGAAAACGGCAGTTTTGAATAAAAACCGACAGTATTGGAGCCACTTGCTAGAGAAAAGCACCGCAGGTAGATAAATTCACTCTAAACTAAATGCCAGTTACTGTGTAGAGATATATATAACAGTAGCTCAAATTGAACGTAGACATAGTCTGATAGTAGGCTGGAACCAAATGCTAGTTGGCAGACCATTGACAAGCGCGCAGCTAAATGGAACCAGAGAAGTAAAGATGCTGGTTTGTCTTTATTTGTAAGCTTTCTTTACTAAAAGACAATTACAAACTTTAAAGCACTGTTGCTACTACTACTACTACTGCTGCTACTACTTATACTGTTGCTTTCTGTATGTGTAACGCGCATCACCATTCACAATAAAAGAACAAGACTGAATTGTTTTGAACAATTGAAGTGAAGTGAAGTAAATCGAAAACAAAATATTTTGCGCTACAAAGTGCTCTGAGCTCAGGCATATCGTTACCCAACAAAAAATTTAATATTGGCAAAAAGCTAGCACCTCCAAGTTTCGATCTTGGGACCTCAGGGTTATGAGCCCTGCGCGCTTCCTCTGCGCCAAGGTGCTTTGTGCTGGAGTAGATTAGACAAGCTAATCAACCAACTCTTGAATATAGTGTTCTTACAAAAGTAGTAGTACTAGCAAAATTGTTTATATGATTGCAACTTTTTTATGGTGGTGAGGTTGGTTGTTAAAAAGTTAATAAAACAAAATATAACCAGTTCTTGTCGCAAGTGTTTATAAATCAGTGGCATGTTGTGGATAAATGCATTGGCGCTCAGCTGCTGAGCGGGCGCGTGTCACATGCACTCGCGGTTTTTAAAACGAATGATGCGTCTCTTCCAGGCAAATCGCCCCATGCAGGATGGGGCTCACCGCTTTTTCTCACCTCCGCATCGGAAATGATGAGTCAAGCCAATAATAGATGGCTTCGCCGCCAAGGCTGCATGCGGATGAGATTAATTTCACAATGATGAATGAAAAAAGGGTTTGTCAACGTTTGCAATTTTCTTTCTGTCTTTGTTAACTCTTCAATTGCGAAATTTACAATAAAATCCCGCCTTAAAACATACACAATCACACAATTCGTCGATGATGGCGACCGCAAACCGCTTGTCGTTCATGGATGAAGAGGCTCCGCCCACATACACGCCGTTTCCGCGGCCAGAGGAACAGTCGATAGACGCCGGCGCCGGCGCGCCGATAGTAAGGGCCCAGGCACCGCACATAGTTTTCAACCCGTCGGACCCGCGCAGCCAGCACACACGCAATTTTTATGGCGGCGACAACGCCCCGCTGGTGCCGCCCAGACGGGCCGATGTGGCGGCAGGGCCAATGCCTGTCAACCCACGGCTGCCGCAGCGGCTGAACGCCGGCTACGAGCAGATGGAGACGGCGCTGCACCTAACGCCACACATGCAGCCGTCGCCGATGCAGCTTCACCAGCCCATAACAACAGCTGTCTTTTCGCATGCACCGCCCGGCCCGACAGACGGCACGGTCAGCTACTCGACGCTGCGAGATGCACCGACAACAGCGCGCGTTTTCCAGGGCCCGGGACAGTTGGCAGACACTGGCAGCAGCGACACCGCCCGGACGCCCTGGTGAGCAGCTGGCCGGCTAGGCACGGCAGCACCGCCGGATACCCGGGCATGCCTCACACAGCAGTAGTCACCGTCAATTGCCCAGCATGCAGGAACACAGGGTGGCTGGGGTCCAGGACACAGTGCTCCTGCCCAATGGGCGTAGCGGCCAGAGGCCAGTTGGCGCGACCATCTCAATCGTCACTCCTGGGCTTTTTGGAGGACATGCTGACGCCGCACCTCAGCAGCTACAGCAGCCACGCTGCGCAGCAGCATCAGCACCCCTTTTCACGCGGCGGCGGCGGCGGCGGCAGCAGCACCACGCCCGCGTACGCGCACAGCATCCCGGGCCTTGGGGCGCTGTGCCCCCACTGCACCGGCCGGTCGTACTTCCGCAATGCTGGGGCGCAAGAGTTGCCGGCGGGCCGCGAGTTGGAACGGCAGTACGGTGGACCGCCGCCGCCGTGCGAAGTATGCGGCAACCGCGGGCGGCTACGCTGAGCCTGCACCATGTAACCACGGTTCATTCCCCTTGACTCCTTCCTTTGACAAGGCGCTGTTATTTTGTACAAAACCCCCCTTATTACGCTTGTCCCATTGTGCTTGATTGCACTTGCACCCACAGCACTCTTTCCGGCGGCATTGCATCATGGCATGCGCTAAATATATAGACAATTTTGATAGAGAACAGGTCGCCATCACCCGCTCGCTTCCCTTGCTGATTACTCAGACCACGTGTTGAGAATGGGTTCAGCCGCGTTGCGAAATAGCGGTTCCGCCCGGCTATTAAATGCAGTGGGAAAATGTTAAATATTGACAGAAACGAATCGAGATTAGTTGGGAAAAGCTGTGCGGCGGGGCTCACGCAGCGGCCTGGCGCTTGGCAGTGCCGATCTGGCACGAGTTGACCTTGGTCGCGAACTGCAGCGAGCACAGCGACTCCTGCGCGCTGGCGGGGCTGGGGTTGACGCACACAAACATGAGCGTCTTGGAGTTGCCGCCCAGAGACTCCTGCAGCAGGTGCGTGAGCTTCGAGTTGCGGTACGGCACGTGGCGGCTGCCCTTGGCCAGCGCCGCGATCACGTCGCCGAGGCTGGACAGCGACTTGTTGATGGCCTGCGTCTCCTTGAGGCGGTCGCCCTTGGACCCCGAGCTGGACAGCCGCTCTGACCCAGCTAAGTCAATGAGGTTGAGCACACCCGACGACGACTCGCCGGTCAGCATGTTCTTGCCGCGCAGGTACAGCGTAAACACACTATGCGACCGCGAAGAGCGCTCGTTGCAGTTCGTTGCCGCGACGGTGCGGTTCTCAGCTGCCCGCGCCAGCAGCCAGTGCACGCGCTCGGCGCTGTCGACCGCGACCGTGGTTATGTTCTTGACGCGCGTATGGCCCTCGCTGTCCTGGTAGATCTCGAGCCTGGCCTGCCTGTCGCCGCCCTGCTGCGCGCTGTGGCCTGCCGGCACGAGCAGGTCCTGCAGCGTCTCGTTGTAGATCTCCAAAAACTGGCCCTCGAGCGTATACTCCCACCCGCGCTCGGCCAGCTTGCTCGTGTTGTCGTATATCTGCTGGACGGCGCGCGGGATGATGCCCAGGATCTTGCGTTCGGGCCTGGCCGACGTAATGGCGTCCGGGCCCTGCATCGTGTGCGTCTTGCCGCTGCCCGTTTGCCCGTAGGCAAAGATGCATACCGGGTACCCATCAAGCGCCGACTGGATCAGCTGCGAGACCTCGTCGAACACAAGGTCCTGCGTCGAGTCGGGCGCGAACACGCGGTCGAACTTGAAGGGGAACGCCCTGGCCGTGGTCTTGCCGAGCGCGTTCTCGCTGGACTGCGAAAGCTCGATCTCGTTCTTCTCCTCGCACTCTGGGAACGAAAGCGGCAGCGCACCGGCCATGGCCTTCTCCTCGCCCACCAGCGGCCGCACGCGGCAGAAGACGCGGATGTTGCCCTTGAGCTCCTGGACTGTGTTGTGCAGCCGGCGCCGCGTTGTCTCCTCGGTGCGCAGCTTGGCCTCAAGCTCCGAGACGTCGCAGTTGCGCGACGCCAGCGCCTCCTCGAGCTCGGCAATGTGGATCTCGCGCTCGCTGAGAATATCCTCGAGCCGCTCTGCCTTGGCCTTGAGGGTGCGGCTGCCGCTCTCGATCTCCAGCTGGTCGCTTGCCTGCTTGGAGACCGTGTTCTCAAGACGCATGCACTCCTCCTTCTTTGCCTTTAGCCGCGCCTGCGTCGACTCGAGCAAGTCTTGGAGGTCGGAAATGCTCTTTTTGAGCGCACGCTGCTCGTCCAGCAGCTGCTCCTCCTGGCGCTTAAACTTGCGCTGGATGTCATCCAGCGCGTCCTCGTGCGCGCGCCTCTCGCTCTGCAGCAAGCGCTGGCGCTCGGCAGCGGTCTCCTGCAACGTCTGAAGCTGCTTTTCCGCCGTCTCTAGCTTTGTGGTCAGAATGCTCTTGTCAAACTCGAGCTGGGTGACCTGCGTGCTGTTATGCTCAAGCTCGACGCTGAGGAGCTTCTTTGATTTGCGCGCCGTCCTGTTCTTCATGATCATGTACTTTGAGAACTCCTCCAGGTCCTTGAGCCGCCCGTTGATGTCGCTCTCGGGGCGATTGTGGATGGCTGGCGGCGGCCCCAGCGCAATGTCCTCGTCGTCGTCGTCGTCGTCCTCATCAAAAACGCTATTCAGCTCGATCCTGGAGCTGCTGACAATGCCATTGTCGGTCTCTTGCATCACCCTGCCAGCGCCATTCCCTGCAGCGGCCGGCTTTGGCTTCATTGCGGCCGGTGCGTCGAGGCGTCTGCGCTTGACGCTATCCGAGGGCGGAACGGCACTCCTGGGCGGCATGACCCCAGCCCTGCCCACGTTCACGCGCCCTCGAGTGGTCGAAGTCCTGTTCGGAGCCAGTCTAGTTGGCGCGCCAGCCATGCCAGGCTTTCTCGGCGCGACACGAATGCCGGCACCAGCGACAGGGGGGAGCTTTGCTGCAGCGCCATTCTGCTTGGGTGTCACTGTGAATCCCTGTGACGATCTCCGCCCAGTGAGAATTGTTTCTGCGCCGCTTGGCTTTGTAAGCCTGGAGGACGGAATTTTAAGCTGGCGGGCCTGGCCCATATCGTTCAGCTCTGCCAACGACGCCGCATGAGCACCGGGCTCATCTGCGTCTCCGGGCACCCTGCGCTTGCCGTTAGGCGCGCCACCTTTCGTGTTTGCGCTGCTGGCCGACGCGCTCGTAAACCCGCCTATCTTGCTAGGCGGTCTCAGCATCGACCCGGGTATGCGTAGTCCTGTCGCCTAAATACTTAAAAATCAAACTTAAGGTTTATTATTGGCAGCTGCACTGTCGAAAATTTTTTGTAAACAAAAAAGAAGGGGTAAATAAAAAACTGCTGTTGCCCACTTACCATGTCTGTTCCTCTCTTTATTTTAGCAAATTTGACGGTAGATAGAGCGATTATAAATATATCGATTCAAGTGCAAACTATTGTGTATTTTTAAAATTTATAATTGAATGAACAAAAGTTGAAAACAAGAAGAATAAAGAGAAGAAAAGGGGGGAAATTAATAAAAGAGCGACAACCTGTTTCAACTGGCCCTCCTCTTCCTCTTTTTTTATGTTTTTTGTCAAGGCGGCACTCTGCAGAGTGCCAGGCTTGGTTGCTTTCCACAACCAACAGAAAAATATAAATGTAAACAAATACTAATCTGATCTGCAAATGTATGTGATCAAATTTGCTGCACTAATATCCAAACACAAAAATCAACTACATAATTTTAACCCGCAAAGTTGTCCTTTTTGAACCCGTACTTCTTCTGCTCGTAGAAGAGATCAGTCCGGGCGGTACCGACGTTGATAATCTTTGGGCAGCCGTCACGGTCTTTCTCAAGGTCCACGCACTCACTGCAATAGAATGCGTCCGATATTCCCTTGCCGCTGCATATTATGCACCTACCCTGGAAGCTGCCGTAGTTGCACTCGTCGCAGATGTGAACAGTTTTTTGCGGCCGCACTAGCGAGTCACAAATCACGCACTTGCCGTCGCATTTCTCGCACAGCCTGCCAATCGCGATGCCCGACAACTGCCGGCAAAACATGAGGTCATGGTGGTGTCTGGCCATTTGCTAAATGTACGCGCGCGTGGAGTGAAGTGGAGTGAAAAAGGTATTGCTTTCGGCGTAGATACGATATAAATACCAAAAGTATTGTTCTTTTTTAAAAATAAAAATAGCTTACTGAAACTTGAATACAAAACGATCCGCAGCATACAATCAAACAGGGTGGGTGGGTAATCGACGCAACAAAAAATTATTCTTGAAAGTCGGCAATTGTCCAGACCTGACTATTACATGCCAAACCTCGTGACATTAATAATAAATATACAAAAATTTTAGTCGCACACAGCTTACTCATCGTCGCTGTAGAAGCTGCCGGAACTCGAAGCTCTCGAGACAAACTCAACATCCGCAGCCCCAGTACTGCTCTGAGGCATGTCTGATGCCCTCTTTCCGATTACAACAGAGTTTTTCTTGTACTCGCGAATCCCGCTCAGCACCTGTCTGTACTCGGCTGCCGCCTGGTCCAGCGGAATGGTGTCGACGGTGCTGTATGCCGAGCTAAAGGGGCCGGGAAACACAACTTCGCTACTACCATCGAGCTGCTCCTTGGATGGCTGAAGGGGGTTCTTTTGGCGCCGTGTTTTGCCCAGCTGCGGCAGTGGTGGCTTCAGATAGCCAGTACTCAGCCCAGGAAGAGGCATCGAAAGTAAACCGACAATAAAATAATGAGTGTTCAGCAATTTAGTCAGGTCAGGAAAAATGAATAAAGCAATGCGTGGTCGATTCTCTATCCTGTAAAAAAAGTTTTTAAAAAAAAGGCTAGGGTCAAATGCTCGCGCACACTTTGCATATGGGTTGACTGCATTTTTAGGCCTCGCATGTTGACCCGTCTATCCGCTGACGCTTTGCCGCATTCTCTGCAAGCGCCGAGTCATCAGTCTGGTCGGTCGACCTGCCTACATGCCGACCGACAGGCCGGGTGTCCCCAGCACCGCCAACTAAATCAGGCTTGCACTTCTTTTCCGCAACCACCGCCTCTACCTCCATCCCCGCCGCATCTTCATTGGACTGGCGGGCCGCCTGGGCCTGCTGAACCAGTTCTGCGCTGACATACCACAGTGGGCGAGTTGTTGGCGGGCGCTTTTCCTTGACAGCGTGCTCGTGTATCAGGCGCTCGATATGTGCCTTTGAAGCGTGCGGAATCTGTGCCTTTAGCTCTTCGACTAGGCGCAACACTCCGAGGGACGACCCGTGCACAACGCTGACCAGGGCAAAAAAATCCTTGTCGCTGACCTCATTTCCCTTGCGAGGAAGGGGGGCTGTCGGGTTGTCTACTTTGCTTGCGCTCTCTTTCTGTCGAGTGGGCTGAATGTCGCCGGGATTAGTGCTGATATGCAGTGGCAGCGTGGTTTCAATTGGAGTTACTGCCAGTGCGGCTAGCATGCCGTATTTGCCTGCATTGTCAAGATCTGCATAGTTGATTTCATCCCACACCAGCCCAATGATGACAGGTGTAAGTAGCTGCACGCGTTGCCGCCGACGTTGGCGTTGGCGCGGCTGTGGATCGGCGTGCAGGTCAGTTTGGTTTTGCGGCCGCTCTTCGAAAGAAACCTTGCGCCGCGAGCGAACTGTCTTGATAATCGAGAGCTCCTCGGCGCCATCGGCGCACTCTGCGGGCTCGTCGACATCCATATCGCCGGCACATACTTCCTCACTGGCGTCGATTTCTTCAATGACCTCGTCCTCGGAAACAAATTCTGAGTCGCTTTCAGAATCGGAGTCGTCGTCGTCGCCATCGCTCTGGCTACCTGTATCAGCTTGCTCGTGCATGCCAAAGTGTGATCGGGGGGCATTATCCCCAACGATAAAGCCATTTTCTTCGTCAAAGTCCTCGTCATCTTCGTCGTCGTCATCGTCCTCGTCGTCTTCATCATCATCATTGTCTTCATCATCTTCGCTGTGCAGATCCTCGCCCTCGCCCTCATCGTCCTCCCACTCTGCGTCGCTGTCAACATCGTAGTCCAGCTCGGAAGTGTCCTGTGCAAATGGTCGCCGTCCGCTGACATTGCGCAGCTGGCGACTCCACGTGCCCCAGTACGCCGGGCGCCGGCTGCCATGAAAATGAATCAGCTTCATGGGCATCTGCCGGAGTCGCCACTGGTAAAGCTCAGCCTCGTCCAGTTCAAAGCCGTCGCTGACAGGTATGGCTGGAACAGGACGAGCAACAAACTTTCGTGGGCAAGCCGCAAACTCGTTTAGGTACGCCCGCATTTCCGAATCGCCGCGGCGGTTGCAAACAATCTGCCCGGAAGGTGCGGCACCCAACACTGCGTCAATGCGGCTGGGTTCAAACGTCGGCGACGGCTGGTACCAAAACATCGCAGTGTTAATCCTGACATGGAATGGCAAAAACACAGTCGCGTAGTAGCTCTTGCCCCCCGTCTCGTGAGATGCCACAGTCTGCCGCTTGGTCTTTTCCGCCCCCCTGTCTTTAGTGAAAAAGCTTTGCAAGCTCTGTTGGCCTCGCAACAGGTGCGAATTGTGTGGCTGCTTTTTTGGAGATGTTGGAAGCCCGGGCTTGTTTCCTGTCGCTGTCACTTCGACCACAGTGTCAGTGCTGTTGAGGGACTGCCCAGTCATCGGTACTGCTGCAGCTTCTTCTACTGTCGCTGTTGCTGCTGCCGCCGTCGACTGAGCTTTGATTTTGAGTTTCTTTAGTGTGCCGGCTAGGATCTGGGTTTGTATCTCGGCATTGAGTGACCGGAACCACTGCACGCACTCAGAGTGGGCGTTTTCGCGGGCACTGCGACGCTTCAATACGATCTCGCGCACGTCCTCTGGAAATAACGATAGGTCGCGCACCTCCCACCGCTGTATCGACAGGCTGTTAGGAACGTCGCCAAGATCTATTTGGCAGCATGTCTTTAGGTCATCGAGAAGAACACCGTAGTTCTTGTGATCGGCGATCGACACGATTGCAGACTCGACAGTGCCCGGTGCTAAAATGTCAGAGTTGCTAGTAGTGGCTGCGCCGAATACCACTGGACATAGTTGCGCCTCTATCGACTTTACTAGCGAGGCGATGGTGACATCCCTCTCCTGCACCATCATGGCGATCAGTGTATGGTGCTCTACGGATATGGTGCTCAGAGGAAGGCTGTCTCTGTTTTCCTGCTTCAGCTGCGCTATCAATTGATGGAATTTGAATACTGCGGCGACAACCGAGGGGTGTCTTTCAAGCCCTAGTTTCTTTTCGGAAAATGCGATCTTGCCATTTTTAAAAGATACCGCAGAACTGTCCTGGCGGGCAGGCTTTGCTGGTGTGTCCGTCGCTTCAGCCGTCTCTGGCGGTGGTAATGCCTGCTGCTGCTGCTGATGCTGCTTCTTTTTTCTCCTCTTTGGTGCTGTGGTATCTATAACCATACAGTCCGAGTCGACTTGGTCGCTGCTAGCAAACAATGGCGCTTCCTCGGCGTCTATTTTGAACGGTTCAATGCACATTCAGGTTTTTAAGATTACTTTGTCGAATTAGTACCATTAAATTTAACACAAATACTGGAAATTCCTGTGTACTGGGATTTGCTTCAAGCAAAAAAATGCAAACCTTGTTTTGGGCCAAGGCGACCGAAAAAGTGCATGAGCGACGCCGTCTTTTTCTTCTTTGGAGTATTGTGATTGTCGGTGGAGGTCATGTTTCCAAATTATCAAAATGTAAAGAAATAAAAAACAGTCGCTTGAATTTGAAATAAATGCAAAATAAAATAAAACGAACGCAATGTAAAAGTGCGCAGGACGCGACGAGCGGTTTCATTTTTCTTGCACCCGAAAATCGCGAAATCAAGAAATAGACGACATACACGCGTTGGCATTGGCATTGATTTTTTGATTTTGATATATTCAACGCGAACGGTGTACGTGATTTGTAAATGAGAGCTCAAAACATATCTCATCCATGATTGGTCCATATTCAAAATAATAACACGTGGAGCGAAATTCAATCTTGCTAAAAAATAGTCGAAATAGACAAGACCTGTGTTGACATTTCCATACTGACCAAATAAAATTTTCTGCGTGTTCGTTTCCTTTATATTTTTATGTTGACATAGTCATTGGCAAAAACTTTTATCCAATCAGAAACTTAGCACTAACAAGCGCAGTAACTTAACAGCGATACTCGATACATCGAGCGATCCAACATACATGCAGTGAAATGTTTTTATATGTAGTTTTTCAAATAAAATAATAAAAATATTGAGTGCATACAAAAAGTGTATAAATATAGAGCAGCCCGGACTAACAATTCAAAATGTTAAACATTACACTCAGTGTTCTACATCCTCTTGCCTCATACACTTACAAACACACATTTACAAGCATACATACATACAATTATCACTTTTAAACATGTCTAACTCTGCTGTCACTTTTATTGCTGCCCTTGCTGCCGCTGTTGTTATTGCTCCTGGCGCCACTGCCAGCCCGATTCTGCCATTTGTTGGTGCTCCCGGATTTTTTGGAACTGGCTTTGTCGGGCCATTGACCACTGGCTTTGCCACTGGCGCTGCCATTGCCGGAACTGCTGGCTTTCCGTTTGTGAACACCGCAGCAATTGCCACCGGCGCTGCTGTCGCTGGCACCGCTGGCTTCCCGTTTATCAGACGCGATCATTCCACTGGGGATCATCTGGCCAAGCGCTGCGGCGGCGGCTGGGGAGGTTGCGGTGGAATTGGGTGTGGCGGCGGCTGGGGCTGGGGCGGCTTTCCATTTGCGGCCAACACCGTGAATGCATTTGACCGCGACTTTTACGCTGCCAATTCCAATGACAACACGCTGTTTGCCAACAACCAAAACGCCAATGTGGTCAGCGACAACGTGCACGCCCTCAATACTGCCAACGTAATTGCTTGATTTGGTCAAATTCGGAGTGTCAACAGCAAACACTGCAATAACATTAGTAGCAGCAATAGTAACAAAAATAAATATGTACATTTGCCCAAATCGGGCTTTAGCATATTTACTCGATTTTAAATATGATTTTTTCCATTGTTTTATACATGGACAAGCATTGCTATAAATTCAACTTTAATGCTCAACAAATTAACTTGTTGCTGTTAATTCCTGTGATTTTAAGTGGTGCCAATAATAAAAAAGATAAAATAGGCAGATGAATCAAGAAAATATGGATAAAACATATTGTTATAGTAAGAGGGGGGTGTGAGGAGCACTAGTTGTCTAGTGTTAAAAGTTAGGGGTGATTTTATAAAAGGTTTTATTACTGATGTTTCTAAAGTACTACTAGGGGCCAGCCTCATCTTATATATGTTCCCAGTCGCCTTTGTCGTGCACATTGTCCATTGTGCGCTCCGTTGGTGAGAACTGGATCTTCTGCGAGTAGACCGGTATCTTGGCAAGTTGATGTTGTGGTTTTCGTGCGTGTACGCTTATGCGTGTGCATTACAGGATGGGGGGCATGTTTGGGCATCAGTGTGATGCCTCCCTGATTTACACCTGCATTATCCAATTTGCGTCCTATCGATCAGCGCGCAGGTGGGAACTTGTTTCGCGGTTCTCGACCTCAACATCTGCTTCCATATCTTCAGTCTGCGCAACAAAAACGTCAAGACCAGTGTCGCCAGCGGCGGTCTCATTCTGCTCGTGGAATACGTCGGACCTTAGCCGCCTGGCTCGGCTCGGGGGGAGGGTGACTGGTCATATATGGGCAGTGCCTCCCGGCCATCCGGGTGGTGCTGCACGTCCTCCGAGCCTGCCTCCGTGAGCGCTCGACTTCTCTTGACCGGCCGGCCGGGCACGATCTCAGCTGTCGGCAGAGCCGGTTTCCTGGTCAGCAGTGCACCCGCGGGCCGTGTCACAATCACCTGATCGTAGGCCCGCGTGTGTCCCATGACTTGAGCGTCCTCGCCTTCTGGGGCTGTGCTGCCGTCCTCGTCGGAAACGAGAGCCCCGCCAGCCACATCTTCGCTATCGTCTCGGCTGTCGTTCACGTATTCTTCTTCTTCCTCTTCTTCACTCTCAGTGTCATGCTCATCCACATATGGCTCTTCAGCGGCTCTTGCAAGCAGTCCCTCGTAGGGCCCGGTACTGTCGCCGTCGCCATCATCCTCCATTTCGGATACGTCCTCAGCGACCACTTGGGCTGTTGGGACCTCTAGTCTGCCTGCTGGCTGGTGGCGGATCTCTGTCAGGAAGGATCTTGCTTCGCTGTTGTCCATGCTGTCCGGCGAGCCCGGCGACTGTGGGGGTGGTGTGAATGGTCCCACCCTAATGTGTGCGGGCTCCAAAGCGACTTGAGGGGCATCCTCCTCTTCCTCTTCGAGTGTGGTTGGGTGCCAGGGCGCGAATATCCTGGGGTGGGCCTGGCCCATGAACTGTACATGTGACTCGGGCGGGGAACCAACCGCCGGCGTCTCCGGCCATGAGTAGCCCGGGTCCGACGGGAGGGATATCAGCATTTGGGCCCTAGCTTCGGGCATTTGAGCGTATGCTCTTGGGCGCGGTGCCGACGGCCCTGGGCTGCCCCCGCCGAGGCCCGTGCCGCCGTCCCCGTACTCGCTGGTCGCCCACTCTGAGTCCGTCCACTCTGAGCCTGATGGCTCTGATCTGCGGGCGATCTCCGCGATCCGTTCTGAGGCTCCATGGTGGTACCGCGTGATCGCGTCGCCTGGTACAATGCGATGGAAGGGCTTGCCGTCAGCATAGGCCAGGTGGTAGGAGGTCTTGTGCCGCGACACGACTCGGAACGGACCCAGGCGGCGTGCAAACTGATCTGCCACTGAGCTGGCCTTGGGGAGTGCACGGCAGGTCACCCACTCACCCGGCTCAAACCAGATGGGGTCGATGCCTCTGTTGTCCCTGGCGTTGGCACGCTGGCGGACCATTTTGCGGTGCTCAGCTGCTTGCTCACGTATCATCTCGGTGATCTCCTCCTCACTGGGGGGGCTCTCACCCTCAGGGAACTGGGCGTATGCTGTCGCTACACGCACCGCAGGCTCGCCGAAGAAAACTGCCGCCGGGGTGTTGGCGATGGCCTCCGAGCGCGTACAGGCGTGTGCAGCTACAATGCGCGGGATGTGCTGCGTCCAGCCCTCCTCGTCCGGCTGATCGGTGAAACAGCATCGCAATGACTGCTTGAATTTCTTGACTGCGGCCTCAGCCAAGTCAGACTGAGCATGGTACTGGGCGGTTGTGATGTGCGTCACGCCCTCCCTGCTCAGGAAGTCCTCAAAGTCATGGGACACGAGCTGCGGGCCGTTGTCCGACGTGAGATATTTTGGCTTTCCGTAGGTGCCAAACCACTCGCTCTCAAGGACATCGGTGAGTGTTGCTGTTGTTGTGTCGTCCACTGCATAGATCTGCATGAACCCGCTCGCACTGTCAACTGCTACTAACGCATCCTGAGGTGCTTCTCCTCTGTCCCCAATGTGTAGCAAGTCGATGTAGACATGTTCGAGCGGCTTTGCAATGTACGACATGATCTTGGGTGTGTGTGACTTTTTCTGGATCGCTGTCATCTGGCAGGTGTGACAGCACTTTGTCAGACTTTCTACCACTGTGCCCAGGCCTGGACATGTAATCAGCTCGCGCACGAAGTCGAGGGTCCGCTTGTACCCAGCGTGTGCCAGGGCCTGGTGTGCCTTGCGTACAAAGTCTCGCGCCGCCTCACGCGTCAGTATGGGCACCCACATGCCTACTGGCCCGGGCGTGTCACTGGGGGCCAGAGCGTACAATCGCCCGTCACGCAAGGCCTTCTTGCTGACGACATTGTATTCGGGAGTTGTCGGACCGTTGAGTGCCTCGCGTTGTTTGCACAGCTTGATCCAGGACTGGATCTCAGCATCGTCATCCTGGCAGTGCAGAAAGTCCGCGACATTCGGTAAGTCCTCTAGCGCAGACGCGATTCTTGCGAACTGCTGGCTCATGGATGCCGGTGTCGGCGCCACGGGCAGGGTAGTAGCTGGGTCGGGTGCAGGCATAGGGGTCGGCTCGGGCGCAGGGGTAGGGGTAACTGTTGCCCCCTGTACGGCATGCCTCAGTCTGCCGCGCTTGTGCCGGACGGGTGTGTTGAGCGCCACCGGCAATGCCGGCTCCTGCTCGGGTGCCATGTCTGTTGTCTGTGCACTGCGTCTGGGTCTACCGCGCCCACGCCGCGTCGCCACTGGGGGCTCTGCTGCCGGGGATTTGGCCTGTGGTACGTCTGGAGTCACCGTAGCTGCTGCTGGCGCCTCCACTGGCTTACGCCTGGGACGGCCACGCTTGCGAGGCAGGTCTGCTGGGGGTGTGGGTGAAGTTGACGCAGTGATGGTCTGTCCCTCACGCCGTGGCCTGCCGCGCTTACGAGCCCCGCTCACAGGGGGCGTTGTATGGGCCGTCTGCGGCATTGTGGCCTGGCCGAGGACGGGGTTGCTTGCCTTGCGCTGGGGCTTGGTCTGCTGGATGGTCTGCGCTCGGTTGGCTGAGCGTGTACGGGCCGCTATAGTTTGCATGGGGGCAGCGGCGGTCATGGGGTTGTTCCTCATGGTGCCGCCGTTGGGAAGTGCGTCGGGCTCGTCGCCATTGGCATAGACGATTGGGGTTACTGCTGCAAAGGCCCCGATGCAATAGGCCACCCTCTCGCCATTTGATTCGCGTGTGAATTGGTCGCCCTCGAAATCCATGGCGCCAATTGTGTAGACATACTCGCCCCCAACTGTCTCGGTCGCTGGGTTGACAAGGGTGTTTACCTCATCATCATCTACATTGCCCAGTGTC